AAAAAGGAGAAAATCAATGCATTAATAGAGCTCAGCCGACAATACGATGCGCTTCGGGCCGAGCAAAAACATTTAGAGAGGCAAATAAAAAATCGAACGACAGTTCTGATGAAAGCAGTATATAGACATAAACAGAGCACGAAAAAACTCGGCGAATTAGAACGGACTTTGGCGACCTATAGCGAGCAGTTAAAACCAGCCGTAAGTAATAACGTTTTACGTGCAGCGGTCGAGCATAGCTTGAATGGAGAAATTACCCAAGTAAACCACAATAAATTASAAATCTTACGTAGAATGGGTGGAAGTGAGCCAAATACCGACATTTACTCCGAACTTATGCCTGACATCGTACAGAAATATAGCGCAATGCGTAAATATGCCAGACGTTGGATGCAAAAGGCGAATATTAAGAGAAGACACACAACGGGCATGGATATAGCTACCATAATTAAAAAGCAGCGCATGAGCTGGGAGCCGAMAGCGAGACTTTTGCGCGAAACGTATGCAATGCAAAACATTGTGCCTACAATGACCAATGAGCAATATGAACGTGAAATTTCACTGAAATCGCATAGTGCTACAAGTGTTTTTCATGACGTAAGTAACAATCGAAATGAACAGAAGATAACCGATAGCCTTAAAAGCGTATTGCCACCACTAGAAGCTGTAGTTGCTAGCGAGGAGAGCAGTAAGTTGACTAAACGAAGAAAAATACTAAAATCCAAACAAAGTGCCACTTCCGATTTAAACGAAAGTGCAAAGAGACGACGTACTGGCAAGCGAAGAAGTCGAGCTCGAAGAAGATCAAGTCGCAAGAGCCAACAAAGTGTAACATCAGATGGGCTCAAAAAAGCACAAAGAAAGAGAAAAGGTAGAAAAAAAAGTATTAAAAGTCTTGACAGTGGCGGACAGGATATGAARCAAAGTAGACGTGGTCAAAATGTTCGCAAAGGTCGAAAACGTCAGAGTAAGGAAAAGTCGAAAGTCAGTCAAATAACTCAGGAGGCCGAAAGTCGTGCCGGAACAGTGCAATCAGTTGTTGATGAGAAAATCGCTAAAGAAAATCCATTGCTCGAAATGAATTTACAACAACAATCAGTTCCTGTACAAATGAAGAAAGCCAGCATAAACGGAAAAACTGCGCTAGATAAATTAAAAGAAAGGAAAAGTGGTGAATTTGATAAACCACAATCAGATACGAACAATCAATTTCATGCGCTCGAAGAATACTGGGGTGTACCGTTACGTACTGATTGCACGCTAGACAAATTGGAACGATTGAATAGCATACTAGACGAGCTTATAGTCGAAGAGGAGAAAAAACCATCGCCACCACTAAAGCACATGCTATCATCTCGAAACGTTGCCCGAAAATCGAGAAAACGCGAAATGCGGGATTTAGAGAAATTGCTGGTGCTACTCAAAGAGTGTAAAAAATGTCAGAAAAAGCAGGAGAAGGCGAAAGCGGCCGAGCGTGATTTCGCCGTGTTATGCAAAAAGGAATATGATGTTGCCATAAAAAATGCAGCTGGACTGCCGGACTACTTTCCGGAAGACTCGGACTTCAGTGTGATGTGTTCTTGTAATAACGTGTCATAACGGAACAGTGAAATGCAATGGTTGCAAAGGAGTTTCACAATTCGGTCGGAATGTTGTCTGTCGCTGCTGATTGCGCAATATTTTCGGTATTATTATGCGCATATGAATGTATGCTAAGTAGATGCTAAATTTATTTACCGCGGAGCTCATCAGCTGGAGCTCTGTCTGCTAAAGACAATGAAGTATACACAGATAATATATTTTATTGATTTGAACAAAGAGAGCTACAGCTGGTTGCATTATCTGAATAAGTTGTGGCTATTTTATAAAAAATAAAATAAAAATTGCATATGTTTAAATGAAATTTGTGTAGGTACTTGAAAGCGTGAACGGCACGAGGAGGGTGAACCATTTCGAGGCTGACTACTTTTTTGAAGAAAAACACAGAAACTTAAAATTTAATAGGGAATGTTTGTTATCATTCGAAAAAAACATTCTTTGTCATTTATTTTCTGAAGCTACGTTTCAGATGGTCCATCCGTTGAGTCCAATTTTCGATGACTTGTTCGAGCATTTCGACTGGGAACTGGCGAATGACATGCGTTATGCTTTGCTCCTAGGACTGAATAAAAATGGGATGGAAGTCTAACGGTGTGAAATCACACGATCTTGGTGCCCAATCGACCGGCTTAAAACGTGAAATTATCTGCTCATTGAAGCGATCTTCCAATAAAACCATTGCTTGATGCGATTTGCAGAAAGTGACACCGTCTTGTTAAAGCCAAATGTCGTCGAGATCACGCCGTAACTTCAATTTCGGGCATAAATTCGGGATAACAACCGGTTTGAAGAAATATGGACCGATTATTCCACAAGCTCACAAACTATACCAAATCGCTTTTTCTGAATGAAATTGCAGCTCTATAATCTTTTTAGGTTACTCTTCGTTCCAAATGCGGCTAGTACTGAATTCCAGCATAGAAAAATTCATCAAGCTACCTCGCTGCCTCCGGACCGAAAAACTACCAACCAGATCGATCATCTTGTGATATACGGAAGACACATTTCCAGTGTTTTAGACGTGCGTACGCTCTGAGGTCCTAACATCGACTCGGATTACTATCTTGTTGCRGTCAAAATACGCATTTGCTTCTGTTTAGCAAAAAACACACGTCAACAAACACAAARAAGGTTCGGCGGAACTGTTGGATGGCGTTTCAAGACTTTACGTACAAAGGCAAAAGACAGCTGGTACGATGAGGAATGCCGAGTCGCAGTGGAAAGAAAACAGACTGCCTACCAGACTGCAAGGTTACAATCGAACACAATGCGTGTGAGAAGGCATAAGAAGTTGAAAAAGAAGAACTAGCAGAAGKTTTCCAGACCGGAGCATGAAGAACTCCTAAGTGATCTAGGGACTTATGTCAAGAGCACACTGATTCCTCAATAGATGACGACGAAGAGGGCGTTCAATTGCCCGATCATGAAGTAGTTCGAATAGCAATTGCCCGTCTGAAGAACAACAAAGCGGCGGTGASCGATAGATTGCTGAATGGATTAGGACTGGAAAATCCAAAACTGACCAGATATTCGCCATTCGTCAAATCTTGGRAAAGACCTGTGTAAAGAGGATCGACATACACCACATCTTCGTCGATTTCACAGATGCTTTTGACAGCACGACAAGGAACTGCTTTTATGCCGTTATGTCTGAATTTGGTATCCCGGCAAAATGACATCGATATCTATGACCTTAACAATCGTGCCGTTGGTTCTGCTTTCTGCAGACTGGATAAGCATACGAAGCAAATGGGTTTGATAGTGAATGAGGGCAAGACGAAATATCTCCTGCCATCAAAAAAATAGCCGTCGTACTCGCGGCTTGGCTCCTATGTCACTGTCTCATCTAATCAGTCGTAACTTCGAAGTCGTGAATAATTATATCTGTCTTGGAACGARCATTAACACCAATAAGGAAAGTCCTCTCTCGTCGAACAAATACCAAACTCTGTATATCACTCATCATCCCCGTCCTGCTCTATGGTGCTTAGGCAGGCATAACGGTGACAGCATCTGATGAGTCGGCGTTACTAGTTTTCGAGAGAAAGATTCTGCAGTAGTTTAATGTTTCTTTGCGCATTGGCAACGGCGAATATCGCATTCGATGGAATATGAGACATCCACATGGTTCAGCGAATTAAAAGACAGCAGCTACGCTAGGTAGGTTATGCCGTCCAAATGGATGAAAACACTCCAGGTTTGAGAGTATTTGACGCAGAGGAAGTGGAAGACCACCACTCCGTTGGAAAGAGCAGCTTGAGAGTGACCTGGCCTCACTTGGTATCTCCAATTGACGCCAAGAACGATTGGCGCGCTTTTGTAAACTCGGCTATAACCGCGTAAGCGGTGTCAACGTCAATAAATAAGAAGAAGAATAATTAAATTTGGATTAGACTCTATAGAAATATTTCCCCCTGCTGGTAGGGGGGACCCYTCCAGGGCGGGGGGAAACCGAATATACCCGCGGCAAGGCATGCCTGTCGTAAGAGGCGACTATAAGCCATATGCACTATGTCAGGCTTTAGAGACCATGTTTTGATGTCAACATGGTCTAAGTCAAATAAGTGCTATAATATTCAGCTGGAAGTCAAATTCTAARCTTTATRTYTATATCTCAAAATATAAGGCATTTGTCACAGCTACAAATGCAACCAGTCATTGAGTTTATACGGGAACTCAACTGGAAGTAGCAAATAGTTACAAAGTCAGACCAAAGACTATAACCTGGTACCACGGGGAGCAGTAAGCCCTTGGAGGTAACTCCAATGTGGAGTCGCACTGCGGCCGGGTGCCGGATCCAAAGTACGGCAGAGGTTTTTGATGGGCCTCGTACCCGACCAMGGTGACTAGGGTGTCCCTATCTACCCGAACCAATTGGAACCAAGGATTAAATGCAAAATGCATTTATGCTTTGGGGCGCTGATCAACGCATTGTATTGATCTACGTGCTTCTAGCAATAGAAAGCACCGTGGAGTTTAGTCTTTCATAGACAGGTATTCACGTTAAAACACATTGGCTCTCTATAGAAATATTAACTAAAATTTTTAGAAGGTTGTACTCTGGGTAAGACRGTTAGCTCAAAATGCGACCGTTCTTACTTGTTTTTATATTTTTGTTATTGCTGTAAGTAGGGCTTTTAGTAGCGGCAACTAGACCTACGAATACATTTGCATTATACATTTATATATACGTCTTTTGCACACATAACTGCACACAGAGGCGAATATAGTATTACTTCAATTGGCCTGAATGAATATGAGCCTCTCTACGCATTATGGAATTTTATACAAATTGTAACAGCTGCTTAAATACATACATGAACAGTTATAACGAAGACCCGAATTGAAAAATATTTATTAAAGCAAAATATTATTATTACCAGTCAGTAATTGAACAACTGCTTCGGCGAAGTCACAACTTCAGCTCTAAGATATAGCCGATAATAAAAAATTGTTAAAATATGTCCGTCAGCCGTGCGATTTTAGGCGTTTTTTTCTTAGTGGTGCTTATGAATTTTCTGGCCGTCGATGCGCAAAATGTTGGTAAGAAAATATTTCAAACATAAATTATCAAAAAATTTTGTATAATGCGTTAAGAAGATCTTTAAATGCATTGATTGYATTATTTTCAGTTTGCTCGCAGCCGCGTCTAGTTGGTCAATGTCGCGCCTTGTTGCGTCGCTACTATTACGATTTCACTTCGAATGCTTGTAAGCAGTTCTACTATGGTGGTTGCGGTGGAAACGGCAATAATTTTGTAAGAAAATCAGACTGTAAAGCTGCTTGTGTAGGAAATTAGTATGTGTCTTTTATAAAGCGATTGGAAATTGTGTGATAATAAAGATTTTGTAATTGACGAATTTATTTTATACTGGTTTATAAGTGATTTGTTTTTTTTTTTTTGGGTGAATATTTTTGTTTAATTGAGTGAGGCCGCAATTGAATAAAGGAAATTTTAATCACTAAAACTTTATTTTTATGAAAAAATTTTCATTTACTCTAAAGTAAAATCTGAAAGTTGGTACGAAAGTGGTTACGAGACTTGCAGTTACTCAGAGTGGTCGAAGCGAAAAATTCTCAGGAAAGCAATGCAAAAAATATCAGCGAAGTTATATTATAATATATATATGTACCTTGCACTATGTACGAACAAGGTTATTTAGTATAATTCTAAATCAGTTACTTCTAGATATGCAAACCATTAACAGTTTGTTCAGTGTTGATCAAGGAGTACCTAACCTCGCTATTAAAAGCATGAACTGTATTTGTGATAAGAATGGTATGGGTGCCAGGTCACAGCGGAATCGCAGGAAATTGTAAAGCTGATGAACTGGCAAGGAAATGCATACTAGAACTGCTATCAGTAGAATGGTAGCGGGTCTGTGATCCCGTATCCCTCTTGTGTTCTACTACTACATAGCTGGGCTTCGCGAGAGCTTGACCAGCGCTGGGCTATCATCGGTACATGTGCTGTGGGAAAAGCGAGATCGATCACTAGACATCTACTGATCTATTTGCCCTCAGTAAGGCTAGCYTTTCACTAGTTAGGGGGATTTTAACACGCCATTGCCCTATTGGCGCCCATGCTGTAAGGCTAGGAATCTAACCMGACGCCATCTGCAGAAGCTGTATGGAAGAAGATGAGGTGGAAACAACTCAACACTTCCTTCTCGATTGTGTCGTGTTTGGGAGGTCAAGACTAAAACACTTGGGATACCTTCAGACATTTTGCAAATTTGTACTGGCTGCTAAACGTTTTGCTATTTTATAAGTTCCAACACAGGACTTCTTCTCACATGCGATCTTACTTAATCTAACGTATGCCAAACACGAAATTGAAAGCGTTTCTACATCAATATTAAAGTTAATACTTATAACATTGAAAGAAAAACTTGTACGCAGTAAGATCTTCAATAAATTGTTAATAATCACAATCGCACTGAAGAATAGAAAGTCAGAACCAACCACCAGCTTCTTTCACAGCAACTCATTTCAAGTCACGTTTCACTCTAAAAGGAATTGATGTGTAGACAATATATAAAGTGGTCGACTGCAGTTTATTTTAAGGCTCATACGTAAATCTTCACCCGTCATGTTGTCATAGACGCGTTTTGAAGCACTGCTACCATATTTCTTAATGTTTATTTCGACTAATCGAAAGGAGATTTTTTTGAGCTATCGACAAATTGAGTGTGAGTGGGATCCAACGTGAACAAAGGCAGCCATCATGAAGCTGCTGAGCTAGTTCACATAAAAAGTTGTAAAAAATAAYCGCACGATAATGTTCGTGACTTGATTCCATTTTTGGATGAGAAGAATATTTTGAGTTACCGTAAACAACACWAGTAGCGCGCGCATGTCAAAATGTTCTAAGTATGTATGTATAACACCAAAAATGTCAAACTTTATAATAAAATTGTAAGTTACCAGATGGTTGCCAGATGACAAAATACAAAAGGTAACCCACGTAATAGTGCTGTTAAAACATACGCTAGTAAGCAAGTCCACAACCGAGTTGTTGAATTAACCTTCAATTCTTTTGGTTGTTTGATTTGTACGGTACTAATAGTAGA